AATCAATACAAAATCTTTTCTTTTCATTCTTTTTAGAAACTATAATAATAGGTGAAGTCCAAGAACTAGTTGATGGTTAAATAATATTGGCTTTTAACATTTTTTTGATTTCTTCTGAAATAAATGATTGGTCTGGAAGAGTAATTCTATAAGGTCATTGTTTGATAAGTGATTTATTTTCAGTATATATTTCATATTAAATTATATTACTTCGGTTAAGTTCATGTAATTCAGTTGCAAATATATCAGCATTATCTTCTAATAGTTGAGTTAGGAGTCATTCTTATTTAGCAGTTAATTTTCATTGTTCAATAACTTTTTCTTCTTGTTCTTATTCCAAGAAATAGATATATGCTTCTTGATGATCAGTAGATCTAAATCTAATTATTCCTCAACTAGATTGTCCAAGTTCTTCTCTAGTAAATACTGGTTTTAGTTGGTCAATAGATGTGAGTTAAAGAAATACTAGTTGAGCAATTTTCTGATCTGGTTTAATAATATAATCTTCTTCTGAATTATTTTAAATAATAATACTAATATTTCCAGTATATTCAGAATCAATAGTTCTACCTTTGACATTGATTTCTTATTTTGTGAGAGATGAGTAAGACATTACTTGACATACAACTCCTATAGGAATTTCTATAGTAATATATATATCTACTAATATAACTTGATGTGACAGAATTCAAATTGCTTCTTTTCCAATATAATAAATATCATATCTAATATCAGTAAGATGTACTTTTTCTGGTATTTTTCCTTTATTCTGGTCATTATAAACTTTGACTGCGTAGTAACTATTATTTTGTTCTACAGAGGTATTCTTTAAATAATTATTAAATTATTATAAAAGTTCATTAAGAGCTTGATAAATATTATTAAATCTTTCTTATATATCATTTAATTAGAGTTGAGGAGGTTGAGTTGAGATAGAAGTAAAACTAATTTTTTTAATTAATTTACTTGTCATATCTTCTTCTGGGATCAGTTTTAAAGTTATAGGATGTTTTTCTTTATCTAATTTAACTAGAATTTCAGATTATACATAATCATCATATTTATCATCATCACAGGGGATAAAATATTCTTGATAGAGTTTCATATTAATATAATCTAGATGAGCAAGTTATTGTCTTCGATTAGGACTGAGTTGTTGATAGATGTATTAAAATATTTCAGCAGCAGATACTTCTACAGAACTATCATAGATAATTTCATAAACAAAATCATCTTCATACATAAAGTAAGATAATATTACTTTGCCAATTTCATCACATTCTTCATAGACTTCTAATAGTATCCCTTTATCTCTGAGCTTATTAATTATTTTAGTATTCTTTTTCCATTCTTCATGATTAAACCAGTAGACACATTAATGTTCATAAGTACAAAAGTATTATTTTTGATAACTTTCAGTAATAAATATTTCTCTGGATTTATTACGTTCACCACATTGAAAATAGGCAGGAAAATTTAATTATTTTTCTCTAATATAATTATCACAGGCAGTTGTTTTTTTTTATTTATTTTGAAATATGTTCCAATATAATATTTGTCAACATATTTTTCACATTCATGGCATCTTTCAATTTGTGAGTTGGGATGAATTTGTTGTGATGCAGCTTGATATGAATCAAAGCTTTTCTTATTTCTTTTGTTAATGAAGAGTTCTTGTTCAACTTTATCAGTCTAGTCTTCATTAGTTTTGAATTTGACACAGAAAGATTTATGAATTTTGATTGATATCCAGTCAGCAAGTTCATCATGGCATCGATAATATTGATATTCAGGCATAAAAAGATTTTAATGACACTAACATTAGTTATTTGGTTCTTTGGTTCTTTTCAGTCAAATAACTATCAGTTGTTCCAATTACAAGATTGAGTAAACTTTTTGTTAAGCTGTTTGAAATCTTTCTAAGTATATCTCTTCCATTTAATTTTAATTCCTTCTTGATAGACTTGTATCTCATAAGTTCTTTTAATACTTTGGATAATTTGTAAAGGTATATCTCCAAAGTTAACATCTTTTAGTCTTTGGGTTGGAGTTTCAATAAGGATCCAAGCTTCTTTAGTAATAATTTCAACACTATCATCATCTTTAAATTCTTGTTGTTCAGAGATTATAATATTCTAATCATCATGTTGTCATATGAAGAAGATCTTCTTTTCCAAGTATTGTTTCTCAAATTCACTTTCAGAATCTTCATCTGATTCTTCTTCTTCAGAACTGATTTCTTCAAATAGTATTTCTTCTTTATTATTATGAATAAATTTAATTAGTACTTTTCCTTTTTGATCATTGTATTCAAAGTTAAGTAATCCTTTTCTGATATCAATATTGACTTTGATTTTGTTCAAAAAGTCCATTCCAATAATTACTGAGTATATTTTTGCTTCAGTAATATCAACTTCAGTAGGAATTATGATTCCACCTAAAGATGGCTTCTCAACTAATTGTGACTTGCAGCAGCTAATCAGAGAATTGTGACAGAGTTGTGGCAGCCAATCAGAGAATTGTGACAGAGTTGTGGCAGCCAATCAGAGAATTGTGACAGAGTTGTGGCTAGTTGCGGCTCCTATCTCTAATTCCACCAATATTTAAAAGTAAATTGTTAATAGCTCCAAGAGATTATTTAGATACATCATTTATGTCTAACATGGAAATATTTAAATTGCATTATATCTTTAATCCTATAACTTTAATAAAATTTTATGTAGTAACACATTCAGAGGCATCAGTATCAATAATTAAATCAATGATATTCTTTCCAACTTTTGCTTCACACCAGGCAGATGTGATTTTAAGCTTTTATTCAAGTAATACTCTTCTTTTTCTTTTTGGTTTAAGCATTATAGCTCAGTACATTCCTTTAAATAACTGAGTTCTTTGTAATGGTGAGGCCTGAATGAGTTAAGTGACAGTTATATTGCTTTTTGTTGAGTCAAATCTTCTAGAATATCATATGGTTCAGCCATGGTAGCAAGTACAAGTAAAGTAATTTTACTTTTCTTCTTATGAATAATCTTTTTAACAGGTTCTTCTTCAAGAATCTTTAATGATCCAGTATTATTCATATCCTAATCAAGAATAACTTCAGGAGTATCTTCTTGTTCTTCTTCTTCATTATTATTTGGTTCCTCATTTTCATTAACTATTTCTTTACAGGGTTGACCTACAGGTCTAATTCTATAAAGAGTAGTTCTGGAATTTCTGAATTTCCTTTCAGTAGCCAAGTATTTATGTATACGAAGTAATAAATTTACATTATCAGGTTTGGTAGTTAATATTTGAATACTATCAGTGAGTATCTGTATTTGGGCTAATAATGCATTCTGATTATTATTTGTATTTTGATTGTTATCAGTATTTGCCTAATTTGGTATTATATTGATTTGTTACTAATTATTTCTATTAGTTCTCTGGCAATTATTTCCAAAGTTATTCTAATTATTCTGATATGATTGTAGCTGAGAATAATTAAGACAGATATGATCTGGCTCACCACAATTATAACAGGTTGAGACTGGTTTAGAATTTTGATTGTTAGACCTATAACCTGAATTATTTCTGTTATAATTAGATCCTTTATTGATTTCAATACTTTCTATTTGTTGGTTGAGATCTTGAAGTGCTATCAATATAGCATTCAGTGTTGAATTATCCTGAATTTGAGATTGATGATATCCTCAGGTTGGCATATCTGTATCAGCTTTCTCTATATTCTTTGCAATTTATATCATATTTAAGAAAGTTCCATCAGCTGAGATCTGAACCCATTTTCTGATCTCTGGTTTCAATCCTCTTCTGTATATTCAGATCTTGTATTCTTCTGAATATTCATTTTCTGGATCTATTTTACAAAGTAGATTAATGAATTTATCTATATACTCTTCTACAGTACTGGTCTGTTATAAGATTTCAATCTTATCTTGCCATTGGTCAATTCTTTCTCTAGTATGAAAGTGAGCTGCAAATTGATAACTAAAACTGTGTGACTGGTCTTGATTATTATTCCAGACTGTCAATTGAGTGATATTATCTCTTTCTCTTTCATCATATCATAAAGCAGTAGTATCTTCTAGGTATCCTCTAACTAGTTGTATTTTTCTGATATTGGTAATATCATTAGCTTGGATGATGATATTAAAGTTTTTGAGCCATTCTGTTAAGTCTTGATCATTTTCTCAGTATTTTCTGATTGAAATTATAATTTTTTCCATAGGCTGGACATTCTGGTCAGCCATGTGATCAGCTAGTACTTCAAGAACTTGAATGAAATTATCTAAATTTAGTTGTGCCATTTGATTATCTTCTTTTTCTGATGTTTGATTATTATCTTCTGAGTCAGTTTGATTATCTTCTTCTGAAGAGCTACTATTTTCTTCTAGTTTTAAAGTTAATATAAGTTGTTCTAGAGATGTTGATGAATCTTCTGAATTCTTTGTCTCAGAATAGTATCCATCAATATCACTATTAACAGATGAAGTTCTTGATTAGAAAGTAAAGTCTTGGTAGATAAACTGTTAATAGAATTATTTAATTAAGTCAAGTTATTCTTCTTGAGTATTGATACGGTCAAAGAGAAAGGTATTTACTAGTTGTATTATTCTCTGTTTCAGTTAGCTTATATATATATTTCGTTAAAATTAAGTTGAATTAATTCTTAAAATAATCGATATATAATTTAATTAATTGATACTGCTCCAATATGTTCTGTGAACAAACAAAATATGTAAAATTATAAAGTGAAATTGGATTAAAGTGGATGACAATAGGGGTAATAATCTTGAGAGGATATTCTAATAGGGTAATTAGGAATTTTATATATTTCAAGATGAAAATTAATAGGTAATCCAATAAAAGAATAATAATTAGTCATGAAAACTCAAGACACAAATATTTATCA